CGTGAATCATCACTTCCTCTCGCGCGAAAAGTGCAAATTTCCACATTGACGCGATTCAATATCGCGTCAGTGAAATTGTTTACTTCCCGCGAGTTCGCGAGCCGGAGGGGAAAAGATTCACGCTCGAGCCCCCCGGGGCCGGAACGGACGCACGGATTGGACGCGCCGGGGGTGAAGAACAGTGAAGAATTGCAGAGAGAGAGAGGATGAAAAGTGCAGAGAGTTCAGGGCTTCGAACGTCGAAAAGCGCGAATGGCGCGGCGGGTGGAGTGGGGAGGAGAGGAGTCGTGGTCCTAACCTGCAATATGCCACGCGACGCTGCATTGTTTACCGAGGTGGGGAGATCTCGGCGGCGGACGAGACGAGAGGCATCGCGCCGTGGGGTTCGCTCGAGCGAGCGCGCACGGTCCCCGAGCTGGCGATGCGAGTTGCCGAAAATGGCGAACGCCGAGGTGCTGCAGCTGGACGTGTGGAAGGGCGACTGGGGCCTGCCGTCGGTCGACGTGGAGTGCCTGCAAGTTCTGGTGCGTTCCGGCTCGCCGGCAGGTTATGGCGCGCGCGCCCGGCTTTGTTTTTCCTCGCCCCCCCGAGACTCGCCGGGTCCGAGAAGCAGCGGCTCGCCCGCCGCCGCGGATTCTTCGGCCGACCTGGAGTCGATCTCCGTCCTGGAGAACGTGGGAGAACACCCGCGGGTCTCCCGCGCGATTGATGGGGAGTACAGGATTTTTCGTAGATTCCAGGGCGCGGGCGGCGCGGTGACGTTCCCCGAGCGATTCCGCGCGAATCCCGAGGGAGCTTTCATTCAAAATTCCGTCGGCGAAGACGCGCGCGGGACTGCGGTCGGCCGGAGAAGCCGTCGGGAGGATACTCGCGGCATCGAGGACGTATCCCGTGAGGGATACGATGTACGTGCGAGATATCAGGATGTTTGTGCTGTCGGGCCGGATGAGACGAAAGCGAGAGAGAGAGAGATCAGTCGATTAGGAGACTGAATGCTGACCGTTGCATTTCAACTCTTGTCGTTCGAACTGCAACAGCGATGTACCATCGGCAATTGCGATAACTTGGGGCCCAGTTTCACCAACGTTGTTTAACTTCAGGCTTGGTTCAATTCGTTATTTGTCTCTTTCCAACTGTTTCTTTAGGTCCAGTTTCACAAACGTCGGTTAACTGTTAACCAGAGTTTAGTTGACTTCCTATCGTTCTCTATCTTGTTATCCAAGAAAAGACAGGATCAATTAACCATGGGTTAGCGGTTGAACGACATTTGTGAAACTGGCCCTTAGAGACACAAAAATGAAAATTAAACCAAGACTAAAGTTAAGTGACGTTTGGTGAAATCGGGCCTTGATATCGATGCTTATTCAATAGCGATGTAACAGGCTGCGTGAGCGCTCGTTTCCTAATACCGTGTCATGTTATTTGTAGGCGTATGCCAAGTTCAGCGGGATACCTTTAAAAGTAAATCTAGCGAGCAATCTGTTTAGGACACCGCACGGTCGACTACCGTTGCTTAAGGCTGGCCTACGTACTATGGACACGGTCAAAGACATATTGCCCTTTTTTAGAACGAAACACTGTAGTTCTGACTGTGCGTTAAGCGATAAGCAGTGCGCGGACGTAATGGCTTATGACGCCCTGCTTAAGGAAAAGTTGTATCCAGCCTTCCAGTTTATATGGTACGAGGTATACAGACACGCGCCAGAATAAGATGCGATTCGGTGCTCATGAGATCTCGACGATATTAAGGCCACGTTAACTTGTTTGTGACAGAAAAACTGAGACTTTACCTAATTAAGTCGATTGAGAAGTAATTTATTCGTCGATGCTCAGAACTTTTCTAGAGATTGATGCATATATCACCTTCAAGGTCTCTAATATTAGTAGGTCCATTAGAAATCTTCCCGTATTGCCCAAGCGTTATCGGCAAAATTGTCAAAGAAACGCCAGAGTTATTAATAATTTCAGACATCGTTTAAGAAAAGGTTCTCTGATGACATACAAGTTTTCCTGATAACGTACAAAGTTGAAAATTGCGAACACCCAGTAATAAATTTGTCTTTGAAGTTAGCTAATTAGGTAAATGACGAGTTATTTGTCCCGAGTAGCAATTTTAAAGCATCTTTAAGTACGGGCTGCACGTTATTCTGGTCGCTGCGTGCATGTTTGTCCAGTTCTCCAGTTGCAAAAATAATGTTGGAGCATCGCATTAGCAGGATGCACTTTAGTGTAATTAGAGCCGTATGCAATGTCACTATAGCTTTCGTAATTATAGCATATGCAACGTGGGTTGTATTAATATTACAATTTTTTTAGGTGGATAGATAAGAAAAATCTAGACGAGTTAGTCAGACCGTGGTACTGCAAGGCGCTGTCTTTTCCATTTAATTTCTATTATCCAGGAAAATTTGAACGGCAAGCGCAGGCCTTGATGCAGAGTCTGTATCCGCTGGAAGATAACATAAATGTTATTGAAAATGAGGTATATGCAACAAAATACAGAATAATAAAGGCACATTAGTTGCGTAAGGAAGACGCTCGTAACGAGAAAAAAAAACGTAATACTTAAAGACTCGCAAAAGACTTACTTTAATTAGCTTTACGAATTTATGTAACAACAGGTATATTCGGAGGCACAAAAATGCCTAACGTTGTTATCTACAAGGCTCGGAGATAAAGATTTCTTTTGTGGGCAACAGCCTAGTACAATAGACGCCGTTGTATACTCGTATCTGGCACCGTTGCTCAAGGCTCCATTACCGAACCCAATTTTACAAAATCATCTGAAAGCCTGTACAAATTTAGTCAAGTATGTGTCACGCATATCGCAGAGATACTTCGAGAAAGAATATCAGACTTACGAAAAGCATAAAGCCGAGAAGAATGCGGAAAGATCGAGAAGAAATTCCGAAAGTGAATTTCCCAACAAGAGAAGAAATCAGGTCCTCGCCGCGCTTATCGCTATAGTAGCAATGGCAGGATATGCGTTATCCACTGGTATTGTAGAGGTAAGTTTTTTTATCACACAGAGAAAAGATACGATAGAACGCATACCACAGATTGCACGAAGAATTCCTGCGACGGACAGAATTTATATTGGATATTAATTGGTTTTCCTATCTTTTTGTCTTAAGAACACTCTTAATATGAATTTTCTTCATCGGAATTAATATTTATATTACATGCAAGCCATTAAAATATTTAGCCATTTTTGTAAATATTATTTAACAAGAGATTTTTGCATGAGATTTCTTTTTACATAATATAAAAATTTTTATACTTTTATTTGGATTAGATAAAAATGTTTTCTATAACAAAATATATTTATAATATAGAAAAAAAAGCATAAAATACTGTTCATGTAAATACATTTTTTTCTAAAAACAAAACTGTACAAGTATTGAGGTTGAAGCTACAAGTAGCTTTATTTGTAGGTGCTAATATATTTGTTAAGAAGCAGAAAATTTATTAAAATTCCTAAGAAGAATAGAAAACGTGAGTATTAGTTGAATATATTTTTACCTGGAAATTAACCAATTAATATCAATATTTATACATAACATTTTTGTATTGTTGCTTCTTGCCGCATACACTTTAAAGAACTGCGATAAATTGATGTAGTCACAATTAAAGTGGTTAAATAGCTTATTTTTATTTAGTGTTGTTGAGAAAGTTATATTCTTACGTGAATAACATTTAAGTAGTACTCTAACATTAGATTCGGAATTATATTTGTAAAGTAAAATATATTCCAAGATATAACATAGAGCCTTCATTAATATATTTAATAAGAAACCTTGAGTGTTTTATATGCATATTAATTTTCTTAATTCATCAAAATATGATAAACATAATACATAAAACGTAGGATGAAATTATTCCTTAAAAATATTAAAAAATCAATTTTTTTTAACAAGAAGAAATACGAAACTTCAGAGATGAAAGTAATTAATAAAACTGTACTTTTTATTGAGCTTTAAATGAGTTTATTTCAATACGAATTTTTAATTTGGGATTTTATTATAAAAATAATTAATGTAGAAAATTCAAATCAGAGAATTCAACAGCCAGTAACATCATATATATTATTTATTATGTTTATTATAATATTAAGAAAAATAATGCATGTTTATTAAAGGTACCAGTAAAGGATGACGAGATCATAGACGTGCCACTGGAATACATACTGAATGATGAGGACGACGAATAGCAGTTAGCAAAAAGAAAATTATGTTTTCACGACAAAGATAGGAAATATAAAGTTATTAAATGCAGAAGAATATTTTATTTCATGCGATACTTCGCAGTGATTTACGTTCAAAAGTCTTGGTGTGGAATAGTTCTATATTCGTGACACGGAGCGAAAGAGAGGCGGACATTACATAAATGTATAAATAGCAAAACATATGACAAAGTAAATAAATATTTTGGAATATGACGTTACACCATCATTAATGTTTTCCGATTTTATATCGCATTAAGATGCCGCTGGTGGCATGGTGCACCTCCTCGGCGAAACTCTTGAAATTGTGGATGGTGGTACCGCCGAGAATAATTTTTATTCCTGGATTTTGCTTATTTAAGTTGTAAACGGCCAAACTTTCCTCGTAAGTCGCACCTCCAATCATGAATATTATTACGTCTTGAGGTCTATAAAAACGAGGTAATGTATATAATTTATATCCAACGCATATAAACGTGTGTATGTATGGCTCGCTATTTAACATATAAATAATTTACCTTCGTGACATTATCATGTTACCGAGATATGGAAACGTCTGCGTACTTAGCCGTCCTTTTATCAGGTCCTCTAGCGTTTCATTTATTAAAGGACTGTGCTGCGTGTATATATTATCTACTCCGCTTAATCCTTTGAATAACTTTTTGGTTATCTTGGCAACTGCCTCTCGATCAAATAAATTACTCTGTCTTGTATTAACACCGCTATATTCTAATATATTATATACAAGCTGGAAACGTTAATTTATCTGTTATATACGTATACCTTTTTCATTTAAAAAAAAAGCAGTCACACGAGTATTATATACCTTAATATATTTGTCTGAAACATTTCTCTTCCTAAGTAATTCTACTAAACCGTTAATATCATTGCTCGCGTGTTTTTCGTAGTGCAGCGCGTAAAGCATGACGAGTCGTACGGTATCCACGTCTCGCACCTTCTGATTACTGATAAGCGCTTTTATCTTTTGCAGCTATAAAAACAACGAAATTACACACGTAAAAAATATATGATAAGATTTATATATTTTTTCATCGTTTTGCGGAGCTATCAAGAAATTACCTGCGAGGAATGATCGGTCTGGCAACTTAGCTCCTGCTCCAATTCTGATACTTCCAACAAATTATGCTTTTCCACGAGGGACGAGAGCTCGCCGACTACTGTAACGTGCTTCGATACAGTACCAGAGAGCTTCTTAAAAAGCGGATACGTCTCTACGAAGTGCTTCATGTCGGCTATACTCTCGACCTTCTGGTGCTTCTTTGCTTTCTTTTGAAACTCTTCCATGAGTTCTTTTATCGTTTGTCCTATTTCCCCAAAGTTTAGATACAGGTTCTGCTCAAGAATACATTCTTTTAACACAAAACATCTTTTGCAAAGAACAGAGTTTATAATTATTTGCAAATTTTTGAAATAACTGTACGTAAAATATCATATTTTTATTAATTTATGTCTATTTCTAATGATCTTAAATAAGCAGGGTCAGAAGTGGAATGAAGAATTTTCTTACATTTGCATAAAAGTCATCATGCTCTGCGCTCAGAACAACTTCTTTCAGTTCTTTCGAAATGCCCTTCACATGGGACAAGTTAACTCGATTGTTATTGATCGTCAGTAACTCGTGCACCATTGCTTGATACGTCCACTGATTGAGCAACGGTGTGACAGGGTCGTCCCTTCTATCGACTATCAGAAGTAGAGGATTGGACTCCTGTCGAAATTCGAAGGAATTCGACTCTTTGCTGAGCACCTCCCTTATCTTCTCCGCCAGTCTCTTCGCCATGTCCGAGCTGTTTTGGTATCTGATATACGGGCATTTCTTTAGCGATAGTAAAACGGAAGTTATCCCTTGGACAGTTCTGTGTAAGTGCACCGGATCCCATGTCAACCCTGGAGTCGCAACAGACAAACGAGACCGGGATGAAAAATAGATCCTTCGCGGATTCCGCGAAGCGGCGAGTCTGCGAGAGATTCAAGATACCTTCGGAGCAGGCGTTTATCCCGAGCGAGAACAAGTGCGGATTAATAGCCAGGTAATCGGCGTAGTATTCGTGCACCTCCCTGACCACCTCTCGCTCGTCGCTCTCCGCCAGAAGTTTTATATCTGCCTTGGCGATAATGTTACTGAAATCTACCGCAGATAAATGTTATTGGCGATCTCGTCCTGTTCCCAGCATTCTTCCGGTTTCGGAGAACGTCCGATTAAGATTTTGATGCGGGGACGTGCGGTTACTTACAAATATAATACACTCCGTACTTGGGATATCTGAGCTCCTTGCAGAGCAAATCGATGTTCTCCTTGGTCGGCCTCACAAACACTATGCACGTCAGGTGTTTGAGGGTGTCGTTGTGCGCGGCGGTGTCTATCCGCTCGAACAGGTACACCTCCTTCATCAGTATCTCGGACTGACTGTAGAGCAGGCTGACTATACTCGTCTAGAAATGGAAAGAGGAATAAGGCCGATGGCAGAGGTAGATCCGCAAAGCCTTGGTCGTAGACGTAAGGCAGGGCAGAGAAAAACTTCAGTTGTATAACAGCCTCTCACGACGCAAATATGTCTACGATCGATGCTCGTTTCTGCAGATTAACTTTAGTCTCGGGTCAAACTACTTCTCCGGGACAATTCCGTATCTCGCGACATAGCGAAAATGCTAAGTGAGCGGCTTTGTCTCTCTTTTTAAATTAGAAAGAGACAAGGCTACTCACTTTTAGCATTTAATGGGCGATACTTGACAAGGACCAGCATTACTCGCCGAAACGTCGTGTATTAATTGAAACATATTGTGCCAGTTATTGCCGGCATAATCCTTTAATTATCAAAACTTCGTAACATTGGAAGCGACAGCTTGGCCTGTACGCGACAGTGCGTGTACGTCTGAAAACCTGTTCCGTTCCTCGCGCCGTCGTATCTCTCGCACGAAACGGGCACGCGATTAGCGAGGACGAGGAGAGACGCGGGGTGGAAGTGTTTGACGGCAGATACGAGGGCCGTAATTCGCGCGGCTCCTACCGTTTGTTTATCCATCAGCAGAACCTTCATGCCGGGGCCGCTGTCCTCCGTCATCCTCGTTATGTAAAACTTGAGCGCGGCGACGACGTTCATCCTGACCGCGCTCTGGACTGTCGTCCGGGATCCCCGCGATTGTTCTATCACGCTAAATTCATATTTCGTCAAACCGGACCGCGATTAGCCGCGGAGACGCGTGCACTCCGTGGACACGGGCTTCGCACGGAGATCCTCGAGTACCATGACGCACACTGATAAGGACGCGAGGCACAGAACTACTCGAACGGTCGTAGAACGTCATTCGCGAAGGGCGCAGCTGATCCCGATTCCTCGCTGATTGGCCCGTTCTCGTCGAATATGGCGAGACTTGGGCTGCGCAGTATTCATGATGGCTGTGCGTTCCGATACTGTCCGATACTCGCTCTCGAGAGACTCGTTCACTGTTGCTACGCCGGTGAACTGGTGCAATAAATTAGAGCGAGACAAGCATATTTTTTTCTTATTCTAGCTCGCTGCGCTGGTTCACCGGTGCAGGAACAGAAAACTCACCTAGGTGCTGAAAATGTACAGTGTACGTTACGTAAACTGTAAGAAGATTGGATTTTCAGTACCGAATATCGGAGCGCAGAGACTCTGTAATCAGAGACTGGCCATAGCTGCTTTCGCGAGAAGATTAAAATGATCCGGATTAAAATGACCCTGTGCCTGTGATTGCAGTCAAATCTGAAATTTCGCAGCATCACATTGAAATTTTATTCAATGAATAGATTTCCAGATTTGACCAATCATAGCGCGGGGTCATTTTAATCCGGATCACTTTGATCTTCTCGCGAAAGCAGCCCATAAGAGAGTTCGTCAAATTCCCGCGAGTGAGAGAGAAACGAATTTTACGATTAGTTTTTGCTTTGGCTCATTTTTATTCATTTCTGTGAAAAAGCGCAAGTTAACTTCGATCTTGGTTTGTTTCTTCCTGAACTCTCTCCCCCTCCCCAATATTTTGTTCCGCGCAACAAACGTCCGCGACGTCTCGGCTCATTTTTCGCGCGGCAGCACGTTCAAACGTTCCGATTGGCCGCGGAATAGAGAATTTTCAAAGAATCCGAAACTCTCCTCCTCCCTGCTGGCCGGCAGCCAATCGTGTCGCGTCACCGTCCATTTCCACCAGCGCACAGATACATTTCAATCGGCTTTTCATTTCTCTCCAATTCCTAAAAAAAAAAAACTGGGAAAGAGATAGAGAGCGAGTCGCGAGCGGAGATTAAAGTTAATCTACACCGTCGGAGGCGGCTCGCGCTCCCTTTCGCGGCTTTCGCGCGCACGGTACGCCCTTGCGCAGCCGTGTGGCGCGCCTGCGCGGAGGAGACCGGGCGCCCGTCGTAGTGTTGCTGCGCGAGTTTACGGCCAGCCCCCCGATGGTATTCGTGGAGCCGACGGGGCGAGCTGTGGGTTCCGCTGTGCGCTCCGCGTTCTGTTTTCGCAGGTACCGTCCGTGGACGCGAGGCTGCCCTCGGAGATCGTCCCCGGCGACGATGCACCGGTGCGGGCTGTGAAGCGACGCGGGCCAGGATTCCCCCGCGGTGCATCTGCTCATCGTGTTTCGCTTCCAATCTCGGTCGGGCGAGCGCGTCCACGCCGATCGTGCGTGTCGCGCCACGATGGCCCTCAGCCAGACGAGCGTGGTGAGTAGAGAGACGAGACGAGGCTGAGCGCGCGGCGACGCGCGACGCCCGCGAGGGGTTTCTCTCCGGGCCGCGGCCGGGATTCTACCCCCCCCCTCCCCGCGGCCTGGAGTGATCGGGAATTTTCCTCCCGGACCGCGGACCTGCCCCGAAAGTCCGCCGGAAAGGTATACCGCGCGTGTCCGGCGGCTCGATGGCGCTCGATCGCGAGAGACGAGCGTCCCCGGGAGGAGAGCGTAAACCGCGTGGCACTCGTACGGCTCGCTCGACGTGGCTCCCCGACCCCCCCCCCGTCGCTGCGCACCGTAGTTTAACATCCGAATGCCGAGCCGAGAGATTACATCCCGCTGTGATATCTCTGTGCAAACGCTCGGGTGTTTACATAGTCGGCTGGCTCGCGCGAACGCTGGCCGTTTTCCTCGATGCCCGTCGTTTTCGGCGTCTCGAGCTCGACGGGATTGCGAGGATGAATTTGAGTCGAGACCGGCGAGAATCCGCGGGCGCTGATGTCCGTGCGATTACGTCGCGTTCGGTTTACGCTCGGCCGTCGCCGAAGAGGATTTGCGTAGAAGCCAAAGGAACTTAGCCTGGACGTAAGGCCGGTATTACATTTTGTGGTACGACAAATTGTTCAAACGTGTCGATTGGATAGAAAACGCTTGAACGGTTCTCGAGAGTTTTTCTCCTTCCTGCAACTAATTAACGCGCTCGAACAAGTTGTCGTGCGACAAACGTAATGCTAGGCCCGAGGGATATCGGGGATGTCAGCAGGGGGTCAATTCTGTGTCTTACAATATAGCGAAAGTGCTAAAAGTGAACGCGGCTTTGGCTCTTTCTAAAGGCCTGTGTCCACGATGCTAGAA